ATGCCATATACCTGGCGGCAACCCGATTATCCAGAGAATAGCTGCGACCAGAAATGGATCTGGCCGAGCATTGTCATAATATGTGCGAAGTGCAACATGGAGGACGCTATTAAGACACTGATGCGAACTCTAGACGAGCCCATAGCTGCGCGACTGGTCTGCTCGGTCTTCGTGGAGGAGATCGTGCGCGATCTATTCATAGAGACTGTGCGACAGCGCATGTCTCCGGTGTATTGGCAGGTGCAGAACCACAATCAGTATCTCCAGTCCCTACAGATTGTCAAAGACATTAAAGCCGAGAGCATCACAATGCTCAAACCCGATTGGATTGGCATGAGGCAACGGATTGCAGAGGGCTCACCACTAATGGTCTGCGACTTTACGCAAAAGTATTTCTGTAGAAAGCGTCCCAGCACTGTAGTTACTCTGCACACCTTCAAGTCCATACTGGAGCTGCCAGCATTGGTTGGTCGGGAGTCTGTCGATGCCATCCAAGTCGCGGTCTGGAATAAGGAAATAGCTGCTGCGTACGAAATTGCTTTTATGCTCAAAATGCCTATTGTTTATCTCAACTGTGACGAAATTACGAAGCAGCCCGTGCGGGAATATTATAAGAAGGGTGAACCATATGCGAATGTTATCAATGGGCACCTCTATGAGGTGATCCTGGAGCCAGAAACCGACCGACCCATCATTATAATAAGTCCATTCCCCATTCCGCCTGACCTGCCCGAAGATCCGATCGTTGAGCTGAAAGCGGTTGAGGTCGACTTGCCTCTAGGACCTGAGGTTCTTTAAAGGCCAAACTGGAAACACCGTCTACATAGACATTGGTGGTTTTTGGGCAAACTAATAAAAGCAAGTTCCTCATTTGCGTTTGTTTACCTCAAATTTCATTTTAGTGATCGGCATGAATAAGATTAAAGCCTTATCTCAGATCAGCCCAGAGTTCTAGCTGTATGTTTTTTCTTTTCTTTTTTTGGAAGTCCAGCATTTGGGGGCTGCACTGTAAATACTATACATAGTAAGTAAGTAGTCGAGTGGGCGTGTCTGTGTCATGCTTTTTATCAGCAGCTTAGATTTAATACTCTGATTAAGGTCATATAGTCATAGCTGACCTTTGAGACAGGCGCAGACGCTGGCATAAGCATGAGGCATGAGTCGGTTCCTTGGAATTACGAGCAAGCCACGGATCATGTTGAATTATTGTAACCATATTAAAGGTTGCTTTCATTACAGACTCGCCGTATTGCTGCCGCCCCTTTGTACCCTTTATGTGCTGAACTGTCTGTCCAGTCTCGTCGGTTGCCCCCTTTGCGGCTGCATTCTTTCATTAGTTCGCGTTGTCAGTCACTCAATCAGTTAGTCAGTCGGTCAGTCGGTCAGTCAGTCAGTCAGTCACTCAATCAGTTAGTCAGTGGGTCACTGGCTGGGTCAGCATCCATTCCATGCCAATTCCATTCTGCTTCTCCACCCCTTTGTCGCCTTTATGGGCCAACAGCTGAGGCTGCTGTGTGTTTCGTGTTGCTTTCATAATTTCTCGCTCGCCTTCTTTATGCTTTTATTTTTGGTAGCAACGGGCAAAAAGTAAATGTGCAAATTTACTTGTTATTCAAACGAGGTCAAGTGGGTGGCCAACAGCAACGTCGACGACAACAACAAAAGCAGCAACAAAAAAAAAAGTATGCGGCTTGGGCGCCATGACTTGTGAAACATGATTTTGCTTTTTATTCTTTGCCAATTTGCTCTTTGCATTTTATTTATACATGCCCCAGACCCCAGCAAGGAGCCCGCCAGACCCCGCCAAACCGCCTCTTGAGTCGCTGAGCCCCACTGGCCCGAGCCCAGACCAACATGCGCGTGCTTACTTCCATTGCCTCTCATTTTTTCTTTATTCATTTTTAGAAAAAGGCAGCCAAATCTCGTCGTTTTCTGAGGTCGCTGAATACGTTGCCAGATGATGCCCTGAGATGTTGCGAAGCTTGAAAGCTCGCAAGCTGAGAAGCTGAGAAACCAAGGCACCAAGAAACCGAGAAACCGAGAAACCGAGAAGGTATCAAGGCATCAGCTACATACTACAAGTAGCATAAATTAAAATGGCATCCATCGCCATCGCAACTCTTTTGGGGTTGCGGGAATGGCAATGGCCGAGAAAGACAATGGACGCCAGAGCGTTTATCGTTGTTTGCCGCCTGCGGCCAATCCTGTCAGCATTCACTCGTATCTGCATCTATTTATCAAAGGCGCCTTCCATGTGGCGTGGCAACAACTGCCCCCGAGGCTCGCAGTCATAAGACAAAGCATCCAGGTCCAGTCAATGACTGTTGGCCAGCTTTGTGGACTCCATTACTCTCTCGCTGCCGTCCCCAGACTTGCCTTGCCTTGACTGCCTTTGTTCTCGTGTCAAACTATTGTATGTATTTGAGCTTCTTCCATTGCTGTTTCTTCTTCTCGTGTTGTAGACACACACACACACAGAGAGAGAAGTAGGTGTAGAGTTTTTGTGTGTGGGTGTGGGTGTTCTGTGTGTTGGCAATAATAATGATAATACACGTCAACATGGATGACATTGTCTACCATTGAACCCATTGAATTGTGGGTAGGGCAGCCCAGGGACGTTTGATAGCAATAAAAAGCCAGCAAACAAATGTGACCCACCCTTCCCCTCCCCCTCCCCCTCACCCACCCCCTTCCCTTACCCAGCTAACATTTATAGGCACCAGTTTCCATCCACTCTGTACGTACACGTATACTCTCTTGGGTAGCAGCAGCTGCCGTCTGCTGTAGTTTATGGGCCCAAAAGTTTACGATATAGTTGTGTGGCAATGTCTCGGTTCATTTGCCAATGAAATAGCATGGCTTTCAAATAATTTCGTTAGGGGGGAAGTAATGACTAAATATTTTCTGCGACTTCATTTCAGTTGTTCGCGTTGAGGAAGAAGAAGCCCCTGATTTATGATATTCGAGGTAACAGTTATTTGTTTTGACTTGTTTGGCTTTTGCTTGCCGTTGTGTGTTGTTGTGCAATGTCGAATCACACGAATCACATTGAAATTGATTGAGTAAACATTGAATTTATTTGTATTTAGAATGGTATTTATTACATACAAGTAAAGGAAATAAATGCATTTCAATTACGACTTCCTATTCCAAATAATACCGACCTACTTACTCATTAGGCTTTGTTGACTTGAATGTGAAATCAATTTGCTGATTGCCGATGTTCTCGGCAATGTTTGATTGCCAGAATGTAGGCAATTAAATTAAGAATAAAATCAAACAAACAAACAAGCACACATGCACACAAATACACACACAATAGTCCACACTCAGAAATATTAAAACACTAAAATACATTTAATGCTAAGCTTTATAACAAAATTGTGTGTTTCCTTTCGTTAAAAAAGCACACGCACTAGACAAACAAAAGGCGACTCATCCTATGTAAAACATTTAGCAGTAACACAATACCCATGTGATATCGATGAAATATGTATAATTAAATAAATTCAATTGAACGCAAAGAAAAATATTTCAAGCGAGAAAGCAATGAATCTAAATTCAAAGAAAATATCCCAACAATATGTCGAAGATATGGAAAACAAATGTCTAGATTAAAAGCGTTAAACGTTTCATAAAATTATTTACTTAATTTTCTTATTAACTGATAACATTTGCTTTAACAAAAATAAATGGCGAAAAATACAATTGAAATTGAAATGTTTGAAAATAAATATGTATATATTCATATTTTTCATTATATGTATTAACTCTTACACGTTTAATCATAGCTAAGAAACAAGAAATCCAAAACCAGGTCAAAACGTATATAATAATACTGCAATATACTTGTACCTAAAAAAAAGAGCAAACCGGAATGAAATCGACCCATTACTTAAAAGAATGGTGAATGGTGATAAAAAAAAATAAATCATATACGATCCTTGTCAACTGACGGACTAACAGCCACGAAGATTTTGGTGTGGGAGTTGGGAGGCAGTCCATGTTTTATCTTTTTATTATTCATTTTCTGAGTGGCGAAAGAAACTATGATGCTACCCGCAAAGTGGCAATAAGTTATATGAACATTAAATAAGGACATATCTGACCTAAATCGGACAACGCAATTGCTATAAATACAATTTAATAATAGTTCAAAATAACGGTTTTCTCTTTCCCCAACTCAATACATATATTAAAGAAATTTGAAATCGAATTATAAATTAAATGACAACAGAAATAAAAACATTGCCGTAATAAGACACATCGGATTAAGAAGCATAATATTTTAATTCGCCCGCAATTATCATTCATTTTTAAACACAGCTTGTCCATTGAAAAATATAAGTGAAACAAATTAATTCAAACGTTTTCCAAGGCAATATTTGGATTTGTTTTAATAAATAATGAAATATAATAATTAATTTAATTCAAGCTTTTATAGAGCGTTAGAGTCGTTATCGTTAATAAGTTGGGCGAATTTTCAAATAAGTACTTGATTAACAGAATAGCTTCGGCAATTTAAAACATAAACGAATTATCATCGATATCATCATTCTCACAGCACACATCGACGTTTAGTAACGAATTAAATAGTTAATGTTGTTGATAAATAGTTTGCTTTAATGTTCGATTGATGCATTTTCACGTTGATTCTGAGCTAGGATGAGTGAGCGTATGCGCAAAGGCGGTGTCTGTGGGAACGGGCACACGTTCTAGAAATACGAATACTTATACGTGTATAGCTGATATGCAATACGAGTATATGGTTTGTCTGATTTTGTGTGTCTCGGGTTGAGTTCAACTGTAATCGAGGGTTGCAACTGTTATGCAATGGCGGTAACTTATCGAATATACGAGTACGAGTAGTATGTAGTTAATTTTGTTGTTTGTATATATACGATTATACATATGTGAACAGGAAGTAAACGAGCAAGCGTTAGTAAATCACTAGTCAAGTCAAAATGTTAACGAAACAAGTTATACTGTACCGCACGAACCTCCCTGTGGAAAGAACTGCGAGTAGATCACTTTGAAGGTGTCCTCCTTGACGACGCCCGTGGGACATTCAGCCTTAAAACCGCGATAAATTCGTTTGATTTCGTCCTCTGTGAAGCGGGTGGCGCGACTTAGAGCGCTTAGCGAGTCGGGCCTGTAGCGTGCTGGTGTCTCAAATTCTTCGAGTTCGGAATCTGTGGCAAAACGGTAAAGAGAAAGGGAATGTTCAGAAGCAAGATTAAAGTCAAGATGAGAATAGGCTTGTTTATTGCTTGCACAGTTTTTTTTATATTTATTTTTTATCATTACTGGTTATCTGTCTGTCTGTCTGCATGTCTATTTGTTTGCTTGGCAGGCCTTTGGGCCACATACATACACACATACACACCACAATACAAACCCACAAACACGCACACACACGTCCAAGTTTTGCTCGATTTTTATCTTTTGAGCCGCTTCAAGTGTTGAATTGACTTGCAACTTCTTTAAGTACTTTTGCTGTCAAACTTTTTTATGCCTGCGCCTTTTTATACAGTTTACTTTGTATGTATGTGGGTGTATGTGTGTATATGTGTATGTGTATGTGTAAAAGACTCACAACTTTTTGACAAAAATTTGAAAATATAAAAGCAGGCGGGTTGGCAGCCTGTAAAGGCAAATGCGTCATGCCTCTTGCTCTTCCTCTTGCTCCTGCCCCTTACCGACCGCCCACAGCCAACACTTTCAAATGGAAGCTTTGGCAGGCTTTTCATTATTTTTGTGGCCCAACTTTTGGCGCTCTAATGTGGTTGCTTGGGCTTTAGTTTGGAGCCGTTAAAAAGGTGCAAGCATGAAAGTTCGTTTAGCTCAATTTTACTTAATTAAAACTTTCCCGTCCAACAGTGCTTAACATATGCACAAACATATATACCTATATGCTTATACATACATACACACACACATATACTTAAATATGGTGATTTAAGTGTATTCGTGTGTCCATTGATTGTATATAAAGCTGCAATTTGTCAATGAAGATCAAATAAAATAAGTTAGAGATGAGAGAAAATTGAGTTTTCAATTTGCAGGCTTCATTACCATTATCATTTAATTATAAAAAATTTCACATTATAATTGAATTAAGCTTGCTAATATTATTAAACCATTATCTTGTTGTTTTCCTTTACTAAACATTTTGTTTATCTTCTATATGTTTTGTTTAAAATTCTATTTAATTGAAGTTTGACAAAATACAGAGCTAAAAGAGTTTGATTCTAATTCGAATAATAGTAATTCTGTGCATTAACAAGTCTAGTGAAATCGAAATGGACTTTGGTTTATAGTCATCCAATGGCAATCTATACATAAATATTAAATATCTATATATTTAGAGCCAAAGTCAGGAATTACTTTGGCGCAGAAGCCCGCAATTCTTTTCGTTACTCCAACGAGTTGGGGTAAGGTGTGTTTTTAAAAATTAATTATTCGTACAAATGTAGCATAAAATATTCATGCAGTACAATTGATGCGTGTATGCATTTAAAAAATCACGAACCCTACTCATCTCTAGCCGGGCATGTGCATTTTGTATTGGCGCACAAAAGAGCGCAACACTTTTTGTTGATTTACCTTTTGCTGCTGTTCTGTTCGTTTGACAAATGGCTGCTTAAAAATGCATGAAAACACGCGAATTTATACACGTGAGAGAGTTGCTAGGGAAGGAGGTGAATGGAGCCTGAATGGAGGAGGACTGCTGCTTTAACTATTTGACGCTTGGTTGGCCCAACACAAGAGAGAGCTGCGAAAATTTACGCCAGATGCAAAAAGTTAAGCGCCCAGCTTGGCAGCGCCCGTTGCTTTTGGCGTTAGTTTTTAATTTGTTAGCTGGCTTATGTCGTGACACACACGCACACACTAATACAAAGTCGCCTTGCATTATTCGCATGAGCATTTTTATTTTTTGTGGATACGGAAAATGCAGCAAAACGAAAATACAAGTAGAAGAGAAAACCTCGAATAATGCCTCAAGCACAAATATGTAACGCAAATTTTCCTTTGCACTGGCCATTTTTCATGTTTTCCCTTTATTTTTTATGATCTTGCATTTTACTATGCATTGTCTTTCCACGCGAGCGCACTTTTGCACCAAAATGTGCTTTACTTGATGTCTCTGCTGCCTTCCGCATTGCACTTTGTGCCCAAAATGTTGACGAAATGCATTAATTCTAATATATATTCATGTACTGCTTATGCAGCGCCCTAACACTTTCAAGCTAGCCTTTGTTCGGGCTTTCGGCCCGGTGCCACCACATTGCCACAAAAATGAGTTGCAGGCTGCGAGGCTTGTGTTTGCTTTTTACTTTCCACTTTTTTCCCATTTCTGCTCTGCCCTTCACACGAACTAACAAAGCCAAACCAAACTAAACTGAACTGAACAAACACAACACAACAGAGCAACAATAGCAAAGAACCAAATATTATTTCAACAGATATAAATGTCTGAATTATTTACGCCACGAACGAAGCTGTCAGCGCGTTCAGTGAACATTTTTTTGTCAGCATAGCACATTCGGTCCAAAAAATACAAAATAACAACAACAGAAACGCCAAATATGCAAAACAATTGCTCATGGGAGTTCGCAACCAAAACCGCTGGTGTCGTTGTGAAATGATGCGACAATAAAAGTAACAGCACGCTCTGTTATAAATAGACGTTAGGCCACACACGAGTCAGGCCACAATAGGCAGAGCCTGTGCAAGAAGGCCTGCGTAGCTTATAAAAATACACACTCCCACACAAAATCTATAATTACACATTATTCTTATTTATTTATTTTGGGAGAGATGCTTTCCCTTTTGTTGTCTCGGGCAGGCGTACGAGGCGTACCTGGAGACAACATATCAAATCAGCTTGTAATGCAGTGAAGCCAAAGATGCGCAATTACTTTATATATAGTATAAATACGTCACACACCTACGTCACATCGGTTTGAGAAGCCACTGCCTGTCAACCCCCCGAAAGATATCTGAAGTCCGTTGATGTGTGTCTGATTTGCATATGTAGTCATTGAATTGCTTCGCCAGACGTCCCTGTGCAGGAGCAGGAAAGCGACTTACCGAAACTAAATCAAAATCTTAAACATTTAACTATATATACATGTAATTATTTATTTCAAAATACATTAAATAGTCGTAGCTAGTTAATGTCAGATACATTTCAATGTTTCTTGCAAGCAACAATATATTTGCTCAGTTGGAAGTATGCACAAGTAATCCTAAAGTGTGTGATTGTGTATCTAAAGTAATTAACTTATTTTGAAAAGAAATTCGATCACATTTTCTTAATGTGGAACACATTTTTTTTATTTTATTACTACATATACTTGTGAAACAAATCCTGGTCTAGAAAAAGGCCGCAAATGGTCTCTAGTCAGGCTTTAAAAGGGCATCGAAATGTGATTACAAAGCTTTGGTGGGGGGTCATTGTTTTTTTCAAACTTCTTTCAAAAATAATAATTCCGTGTAAAAGTGTTAAAATTGGTATGCACATATTAACACAACATATGTATTATTCTTTGGGCGATTTTTCAGCCTGTGTGGAAGTGTTGGTTTGCGCACCCAATCCTTTGGCAGCAGTAGCAGCCAAAAGAGTTTTGAATGGGAGCCAAAAATGTTTATTTGATGTCTCGCCCTCATCACTTTTCGATCCACTGAACTGAGTGTTAGCTTTTGCAATGCTCCTTAGCGTGCTGAAACAATAGCATTCTGCTCTCATGTTTAACAACAACAGCACTCTCGTCCTTTCGAACTGCGATGGGTGAATTGCTTGTAAGTCTGCAGAGATATTCAGATAAGCGAGGCTCTTTGACGACAAAGTTCCTACTTACACAACTATTATATTAAATAGTTTCCAAATAGTTGAAAAACTGAATGCATTCAAATTTTTTACTCGAAGAATCAAATTTGATTTTGGGTATTATTTTCCAAATTGAATAGAAATTTATGATTGAAATATATGGATTGTTCTGTAACTCAGCAAATATTTTGAGATGTTTTTCAATGAAAACGTGAATTTTTCAAACATCTACTAGATCCGAACAACATGTTTTTCCTCTTTTGATACTCCACAAGACATTTTGAGTTAGTCTTTTGTAAAAAAGCGTTTTAAAGAAAAGGAAACAATTGACTAGCAAGAGCTACAACCTGTCTGTGCTTTAATTTGACGTTCCGATTCAGAATTGAAATTATCTTAATAACCAAAATGACGGTAAATGTTGATCAGATTTATATGATTTGTCAAGCCAAGAGACAGTAATCTTGATTGTAATGCTCCGAAAATTTCACAACAATGTGAAAAAATTTTTGATATGATGACTCTATGGCTGAATGGTGCTTTTTGTTGTTTGCAGATTAACACAAGTCAGTTTTGAGAATACTTCCTAAATATGCCATCAAAAAAATTACTGTACACACACCTACACACACACACACATAAGCGAACTGTCATTTGTTAATGACAGTTGGGCATGCAGTGAAACGAAATGCATTCATTGTGTGTCGCCTAAATGGGGGTAAAAACTTTTGCAATTGGCCAAACAGAGGTCAAGGTGTTAACTGTATATATGCAGGTGTGTTTGTATATATATGTGTGTGTGTGTGTGTTTGTGCAATGCAGCTGCAAGCATGACAATAAACAAGGTGATGCAGTCAGCTCGTGAGAGGGGGAGGGCCAGAGAAGGATCAGGTGCAGCATTGTCGTTGTAATTGCAGATAAAGCACATAGATACATAGTTAGAGATGAGCATTTTCGATTTTCGTGAGCGAGAAAAACAGTAAATAACAGTAATAATAATAACAGTTAAAGTCAATTGGAATTAAATACTTCTGAAATTGCAAAATAATATTCATTTTGAGAGTCTGTATGGGTTTTAAGGCGTGTTGATTAATCCAAATCTAAGCATAACTTCCGACTATGTCGACTATTGTAGAACTCCGATTAGAATTATAATAAATGCTTGAAAAGTGTTCTATTCAAACAAAAGCTTGTTGGTGGATTATAATGGAAGCACAAATTTCAATTTAATTTGCATGTTACGAAACAAACTTTGCTCAATCATTCATTCATAGCTTCCTAATGATAACCGTACCCAAAATGATATTTAAAATGAAAGGAGAAAAAAACTAGAAGAGTACACACCTAATTCTGTTTTTACACGATTTTGATATAACTCGGTTTGAAAATTAAAAATTGCATATATATTTCATTAGAGATAAGGAACCAATCACCTATTTTTGCATATGATCAATGGCTTTTTTACACGGTTGTTTCTGGAACCGATCTACCGTGTATAAACAGAATTAGCTGTATTGTAGAATATATTTTTATATTGCAATACATTTTAGCTTATTTTTTATTTGATCCAAATGAAAACTTTAAAGTTGGCTACGTGAGCGAAATATTTGAATTTCACGCGGCCTCCTCTAGCGCACACACACATACAACTGCCCCGCCCAATTTTCTACGCCCAGCAGTTGGCATTGCATGCGCTCGCATAATAAGTTCCTGTTTATCTCGACTCGGCTGTGTGAGTGTGTTTGTTTGTTTGCCCGAACGTTGTGCTGCGGCTGTTTAAATATGTGCCTTTGTCTGTGTGTCTGCGTGTGTGTGTGCGGCTGCGCAGGTGTCATGTTTCCGTTTCCGTTACGCAGCAAACTGCAGCGGAAATGCAGCAGAGCTACAAGTGCAAATATTTTTGCATGCAACAAACCACAACCGTCGACACCCGCACTTGTTTGGCCAATATCTCTACCTCAGGACCCGCCCCACGCCCGCCTACCCCCCTGCTCCCATCACTGCCACTTCCACTACCACTGCTCCGGCCACAGCTTCGGACTCAGGCGCTGTTTGCCGCACTTTTATTAGATCTGCCTGCCTGACTGCATGCCCCCATGTTTTTCTTTCCTCCAACAAAAATATTTACTTTCGTTCAATTTAAAGTAAATGAACATGCGTGCGCGTGTCTGTGCGCGTGTCTATGTGCGTGTCTGTGCGTGAGCGTGTGTCGCTGTGCAAGCATATTATCCAATGGAGATTTTTAAAAATAGTCGCGCGTGCAAAATTTAAAAGCCAAAGTCTTTACGTATTCCATCCGCCAGCGTAAGACTGACTACTAAGGATAGACAGAAAGCGGGGGCGAATGAAATTAACGCTTAAGCAAACAAAGTAAAATATAAATATGTCAAATTGTTCCCAAACATTATTCTCAAGTACTTTCAGTCCGTCCTCACTAAGTATGAAAGAAAAGTCGCTCAATGTTTTCAAAACAATTATTTACCTACTTGAATTTAGAAATAGTTATTTAAGAAAATTTCATTTATAGAACCCTGTTGCAAAGAAAACACAATTGTACGTTCTCATATAACCGCCAGAGTTCAAAGTCTTAAGAATTTATTTGGCGTCAGGTAAAATAAAATATACTCAGAAAAAGCTTTTCATCAGCCAAATAGAACAAGAGAGAACGCTACAGTCGAGCAAGCCCGACAGTGTAATACCCTGTACCCAGGTAAACTTCCGTCACTGAGTTATATGCGCCCATAGCAACAGCAAAAAGAGGAAGAAGAAGAGCGAACTTGTTGCTGCAGTTTGGGGGGGTTGTACTGGTGAGAATATGTTTTGCTAATAACTTTTCTTAGAATTGACCGAATTTGATAAAATTTTAAACAACAGTAGATAATTGTATAGAAATTATGTGTGCAAAGTTTAGGTAGCATTTGAAATGTGGACGCTATTGACAAAATTCTGTAGCGGGGGAAGGGGGGGAAAATTAAAAAAAAAAAATAAACTCGTCCTTACTCGGACCTAGGAGAATCTGGATGCCAACTTTGGTTATTCTAGCTTTTATAGTTTCCGAGATCCTTGCGTTCATCCAGACGGACGGACAGACGGACAGACGGACGGACATGTCTAGATCGATTTCTCTCGTCATGCTGATCAAGAATATATATACTTTATGGGGTCGGAGATGCTTCCTTCTGTATGTTACATACTTTGCACAAACCTAATATACCCTTTTTACCCTACGGGTACAGGGTATAAAAATTATCTTCTAAAATGTTACTAATGGCAGTCGATAATAATAAATTGGTTCTAAGAATAAGACACAAGAAATTTGGTGTTTAAGGACATTTTCAAAGTTGATGTTCATTTAAGTTTTTAAAGTTGAGCGAAAAGTGTTTTAAACATTCTTGTATCACTTTTCCAATCTGTTTGCACACAATTTATGAAGCGTCTTATCTTCTCATTATCTTTCATCATTTCGTTAATTAAAATTATTGTTTATAAAACTAAAAATTTCTTATGGGAATGCATTGAGAAAAAGCATTAAGGGAGTCGGAACGAACGTATTTAGCGGAAAATAAATGAAGCAAATGGTAAAACAAACACAACAACAATTCGTCAGAAAGCTGTGGCGTACTTGTATTTCTCAAATAAAGAATGGATGGAACTTGTTTGTTTGTTTTATGTGTTCTAAGAAGACACATTTTTGTGTTAAAAACGAAGAAGAGACCCCATTTCTAGATATATCTGTTCTATCTCTGCTTAGAAATGAGCATGATGCCAATACATAATTTGGAGTCTCTAGAGCGATTAGTCTTTACAATGAAGGCTGCATTTATGAATGCCTTTCAACCCATTTATCAACATAATTCTGTTTTAAATAATGTATCATTCTACGGATTCTTCTTAAACAATTTAGAAGAAGCGTGCGATCTGATGAGCCTTTTATATTAATTGGCCAAGGGCTTTCGCTAGAGGCGCTGCGCAATTGTGCATAGTCTTGTTATTAACATTATAAAACATTTCTGGCTTTTTAGAAAGTTGCCGCCTTTGTCGCATCGTTAAAAACGCATGGCGCACATAAAAACTAAACGTAAAACACACATCATTGTACGCGCACACATACACACACACACACACACATGGAATTTGTGGGTGAGACCAAAAATATATTTTACAAACGACGAGCAAAGCAGCAAAATGTTGCACACATGAAAATTGATCAAGTCGTTAAACCCAAATGCGGAGGCGTCGTAAAAAGGAACAAAAGGCGTTGAGTGCGCTTCAATTTTTCCGCAGTGCTGCAGCAAGGAAAATACACACACAAGCACACTTACACGCAAGCACACACACACACACACACGTACTCACATACACAACTTTTGGCTCTATATACTCGTATGTGCCACTTATCTCGTTTAATTTCGTATTATTTTGCGGCTTGCATTTTATTGCCAGACACATACACATAAACACACACATACATGCACAGACATGATGACAGGAAGACGAACAAACAGTCGGATGGACGGACGGATAGATTGCAAGACTGACGGAACGGCGCACAGGCACGCCTTTGGCAAGTTGTTTGCGCGTCCAACGTTGCGTATGTGCAACATTTGTAAGAAAAGTCGAACGCGTTGCCAAACTTTGTCGAGGAAGAGGAAGATAGGACGCCACATTGTTGCAGCTGGTCGAAAATGTAATGAAAATGAATAATGAGCCAATTCATTTCTATATGCTATTGCCAATTAAAAAATGTTCGTCAATTCTAAGTTAAAGAAGTGTCTGAAAGGTCTTTACTCTTGCTTTTGAGTTTTTAGGCACAACTTTCAAGAAACTATGTACCTGTCAGTTATTGTCTCCAGAAGACATACTGTGTTCAAAGACTTACTTTTCCATTAGTTCTTGTACACGATCGGCCTTCCAGGTTTACTTTCATAAGCTAACCTTTTCGAAGAATATTGATTTTGATTCAAATAAGCCAAGTAACAACAAGTAACAACATAACTTACTACTTTTTATGCTAATATTAATTGAACGAATTAAATCCAAAACTCCACAAGCAGTAATGCGCTGACGAGAATTTCTTTTCAATGATCAGTTAGTTTGGATAACGCTTATATTTGTGATACCGATTTGATCCCATTGTTGAAATATATTTTCCGACACAAGTCTGC